GGTGTTCTTCACAGTTGAAAAATACTTGCTTTTCCAGTAAATGTTTGCAAAATGGAAATATTTGCTTCCCGAGTAGCAACGAGACCATTGCGTAGGCATCATAAGCACAAGACCCATAGCTGCAAATAATTCCAAAATAGGGCTCAGTAGCTGCCCATATTTGGACTGGTCTAAATTACGGTTCATTATTTGGACTAGTCTAATTTGCACTAGTCGATTCCCTCTGAGTTGTTCCGGAGAGAGAGCCCATGCATACCTGGAGTTTTCCCAATGTACTCTACTGCTATTTCTTCCTCCAGCCCCTTCCTTCTGTGCCCCTTGAAGAAGTTTTAAGCACCTGCATGACTGATGGCCTGGTCTTGCAGGCAGGTGACTTGGTAGAGAAGTTAAGGCTGAGGGTGGTGCCTAGGTTGGCACTAAGTGTAAATCGATGGTGGGGTTTATGGATGGGGAGCTACAGGAGCTCGCCCCCTCTGTGGCTCTAGTCATCTCTGGTGTCCCACCCTAGGGCACATCCCTCCTGCCTTCCGCAGAACAGGTAGTAGAAAGAATGAACGGGGAGACTTTGTTCCACCAAGACAGTTGCTCTGTCTTTAAGTGGGGAGAACGAAACTCCATGTTTGAAGACATGAAAGCTAAGGAGCTCTTTTTTTTTTTTTTTTCATGACTAGACCCTTTGATTCTTCCAGCCAGTCAAAAGATTTTTCAATTGAAATCCAAAGTGAATCTTTCCTTTAGAACCGAAAGACCTCCCAACACAGAGGCCACTCGGTCCCTCTGTTGTCCCGCCTGGAATTGGGATTGCATGAGGCAGAGGCCCAGTGCCTTGTCTAAGGTGGGACAGAGGACTAAAGCTAGGAGTTAGATTCTTTCGAGAATAGCTAGGCCTCACTCCGGTCCCCTCCCCACCAACCCGACTCGTTCACACTCAGACACGCAGTCTCTGCTCAACACCTCGGGGCCTGCCTGCTAGGCGAGGTCCTCTGCCTGGAGAGCAACTGTTCCCTGGTGCTATCTGAGCACATTCCAGCAGCACGTGTTTATCTCCAGTCAGCCTTTCCTGTTGATGCTCTGGAGGTGTGTGTGTGGGGCCGGGGGGCAGGGGAGCAGGGAGGGAGATCGGGATAATGGCTGTTGGCAGGCACAGGACGTGGAGGCAGGAGGGCAGTGGCGATACGGACCCCACTCTGGGGAGGGGGGTGTTATGATGAGGTTCCCAGACTGTGTGTGGCCACGTATGTCTTTCCTCACATTGGTATGAGCTCCTTGGCGTTTCTACTGCTAGGGGAGAGGAGCACTGCCTCACCCAGGGATGCATCTTCCAGAGCTGGCTAGGACGCGGTGGGTGGGGACCTCCAGGTGGGGGCCACAGGATATGGAGCCAGGAGAACAGCAGTGTTTCCATTGTTTCGCTTAGGATGTGAGCTCTGTTGGGACACAACTGGTTCTGCCTCTCCCTGTGAGCTCAGTCATTGCTGCCAGGACCTCGAGGCTTTGGCAATGGGACAGAGGAGGCCACCCTCCCTGACTAGGCTGGGCAAACCCCATGAGTCTGACACCCTTAAGACACCAGTTTCCAGGAACTGCACCCTCTCCCTCAAGAAAAGTACCCACCACACACCGATCCCCACTAGCAGCGGGCAAATGCTGAGCTACTTTTCCGGAGGGTTCCACCCCAGCACTGGATGGCTTTGAGAAAGTATGTTCACAGCCTATCTCAGACCGTTGAGATACTCTCATTTTCAAATGAGATAATCTCATCCTCCCTCCAGGCTGAGTTTTGGGGTGCAGGAGAGAGGAGTTTGAACTGTTTGATGCTTCTTCAACAAAAATGAATCATGTCCCCTGCTCCCCATCCTCAGCCTAGGAATATTTACCCATGTTTATATAACTATGGCAACAGGCTTTATCCTCTACCACTTAAACCCTTATTTAAAAAGAAGAAGAAGAAGAAGAAGAAAAGAAGAAGAAGAAGAAGAAGAAGAAGAAGAAGAAGAAGAAGAAGAAGAAGAAGAAGGAGGAGGAGAAGAGGGGCACCTGGGTGGCTCAGTTGGTTAAGCGACTGCCTTCAGCTCAGGTCATGATCTCAGGGTCCTGGGATCGAGCCCCGCATCGGGCTCCCTGCTCCGCGGGAAGCCTGCTTCTCCCTCTGACCCTCCCCCTGCTTGTGTTCCCTCTCTCGCTGTCTCTCTCTCTCTCTGTCAATTAAATAAATAAATAAAATCTTTAAAAAAAAAAAGAAGAAGGAGAAGAAGGAGAAGAAAGAAGGAGAAGAAGAAGAAGAAGAAAGAAGGAGAAGAAGAAGAAGAAAAAGGAAAAATGGAAGCAGCAGTCCTTTTTCTTGCCCCGGCCTGAGCTGTCTCTTCAGAAGCAAGGTAAGAGAGCCCCACACACCCTGCTACAATGTCAGCCTCCTCAAGGGCAAGTCTGCAATGGTCCAACATCATGAAAGGACTTAAGAGTCTGACAGCCATTTTCTTCCAAAATCCTGTAGGAACCACACAGTAATAGCACCTCTGACTTGTCTGGGACTTCTCTTTGGAGCACTGCACTGAGATTATGGTTATCAATTTTTTTTTCTTGCCATCTCCTTGACTTTAAAAGTAGATGGATTTTGTAATGTATATAATTGTCATACACCTGAAACTATCATATCATATGTCAACTGTACTTCAATTAGAAAAAAAAATATATATATATATATTAAGGTGGATGGAATGCAGTCTGGCTTTGCTAACAATATAGTCTTCATCTCCGAGGTGGATTCCTCTTGTCCTGACTACATCACAGATCATTGTCAAAATAGAGTTTCTTAAGAGTTTCATAAGGAGTAGAAAAGTGTTAGGCTCACGAAGGTTTAACTATACAAGGGAAGCTGAGGCCAGTAAAAGGAAAGCATCTGTGCAAGTCAGACTGTGCTGTCAGTAGGCTAGGGGGGCTAACCACTTAGTCTAAGGTTCTTACCAGGAGATCAGCCTGCATCTCTTGGAGTGTGAAGTACAGCCATCCTCTTAGCTTCCAAGAGGATTCCAGTCCAGGAGCTCTCAGGGATGACAAAACTGGGGCTTAAACTTGACTCCAAAAACTATATCAACCACAGGCCCACTGTTTACTCACTGCCTTCTATAGCCGCCACTGCTGAGTGCTGGAGCTCTAAGAGTGAGCAAGGCCTGCAGTGGTGGAAACCCTTTGGTGGTGTTTCTCCCAGTGTAAGATTATGTGTGGATTATGACAGTGGCCAGGTGCCCCTTTCTATCCCAATCCCAGAAGATTCAACTCCAGGAAGGGTTCAGCCAGTCTGGGGACAGCAGCTGCGTCCTTGGGGGTGGCTCCCACTGTGAACACTCCTGGGGTACACGGAAAGGTTCCCTTGGGGATCTCGGGCTCCCAGCTGCAAGGAAGCCTGGGCCAAGCACAGCGCCTCACTTGGACCGGCGGAGCCGCACTCTCCCCGGTAATCTACCAACCTGGAGAGCGGAGGGAAATGTGATGTCAGGCTAAGCAGCTTGGGAAGGCCTAAGTAGATTCTCAGCTCCATCCTGGGGCCCTCGGGTTTTCCGACCCACACGGGGATCCTGAGCAGGGACCGAGAAGGGAGCGCGGGTCCCTGGGCTTGGCAAGGGGCCACCAAGCAGAGACTTCGGACCGAGTTCCGACCCACCTACGCCTCTTCTTTCTTTTCTGGAACCATCTGCTACTGTTGCTGCAGCTTCGTCCAAAGGGGGCGGGGGTGGGGGGGTGGGACTCAGTTCTAGGCCGAAAGATAGGGGCAAGGTCCCCTGTAACTGAGGACCCGGGGTGAAGTGAAGGCATCCAAATGGACTCTGCAAAGTCTTCATTTCTGAAGATGTTCATTTTTATCCTCCCTGCCTCTACCCGAGCCCCGCCCCCCCCACAAGAGTGGCACTCTTTGCTGACAAAGATGGGAATGACTGCAGTGCCTGCATTCTCTGCCCCTTCTCCCACGTCTGCACGGTTCTGTCACAGAGACCCCAGATTCTGCCTGGGGCAAACTTTCTCCCGTTAATTATCTTGAAATAACAGGTCGCTAATTACCCTAATTACTCTGGGGTCCTGCAACACCGCACCGCACCGCCCCCCCCCCCCGCGGGCTGGGGCGGGTGGCGCGGCGCCTGGGCCCTGGGAGGCACCCACAATCTGGCCGCGAGCGGACGCTGGCGTGGAGGGTCCGGAGCTCCGCGGGGAGGGGCGCCCGGCCGGCTTGCGGCCCCTCTCAGGTCCACCTGCCCCAGCTCCCGCCCGGGCTCGGACCGTATCCATTGACTAGAATCCGAGCAACTTTGAGTCCCCCTCTCTTGGGCAAGAGTTAGGATAACTGACACTGGGGGTGTACTGGGGAAGAGAGGGGCTATTCCTCCACTCCCCGCCCACCCTGTTGAAAGCAGCCCCCATCCCATGACCCTGTTTGCTGTTTTCACGAAGAATCACTACCTGAAATCACCGTGTTTGTGTATTTTAACCTGTCTCATCCTTCCCCTTCCCCGCCCCCATGCACGTTCTTGAGAGCAGAGACCTTGACTGTCTTAATTCTGTACCCCCAGATTTACACCCTTGCGGGGAGTACAGCAGAGCCTCCGCTACGGTTCTGTATTAAATAAGTGAAGTGGCTCCTCACCTCCACCGGTGAGGAGTGGGCTGTGGCGGGGGGGGGACCCTACACCTTGGAGGTGAGGTAGACCCACACTTCCAGACTTCCAGCACACTTCCAGAGTTCAAAAGAGCTGTTGATTGGCTGCTTGGGTGGAGGGTGTTCCTTTTCTGATCGGAGTTTGGGAAACAGGGTTGAAAGAAACTAAGGCACTCGGCCTCTTACTGAGACCACTACCCAGTGCCCCCCCCGCCGTAAGACGCTGCTATCTCTTTATGACCAAACGGGGATCACGTGCTCTGTTGGGGGACGTCGGTACAGTCTGGCGTCACCATACCCCCGGCCCCCCTGCGAGGACCAGGTGTCGCCCGGCCAGTCCCCAGTCGCCGCTGCCCCAGCCCTGTGCCACCACCCGCGGCAGGGTCCACTGGCCGCAGCCCAGCCCGCGGCCCCCGGTGCGCCCGTCTCATTGGCTGAAGGCATTCTCCCCTGAATTCTCATAGGCTGTCCCACTTTTCCTCCGCCCCCCGCACGGACCGCGCGCCGCGAGAGCCAGGGAAGCTGCTCTAAGTCCGGGCCTTGGGAGCCGTGGCTCGGCTCGCCGCTGCGAGAGGCGCGGAGCGCGGGGGCCGGGGGCCGCTCTTCCCACCCGGGGACGCTCTTGCGGAGCCGAGCCCGGCAAATGGGCGCACGAGGAAGAGAGCAGGGAAATGGACTGCTATTTGCGCCGCCTCAGACAGGAGCTGGTAAGAGCGAAGCGGGCGCCAGGGGCCCGGAGGACAGCTCCGCCCCGACGGCACCTGGTCCCCGCCGCGGGCCCCGGACCCGGGAAGTGCGCGGGCGGAGGAAGACCAGAGAGGAGGGGACGGGCAGGCAGAGGGCAGGGCCTGGCCCGAGGGAAAGGGCCGCGAGGAAACTTGGAGCAAATATTTGTGAGAGTGAGGCAGACCCGAGCAAGTGACGGAGACCGAGCAACCCAACCCCGGACCGAAATGCGCCCAGAGAAGGCGCCGGACACACGGGGGCACGCTCCCAGACGGACGGCTGCTGGGACCGCTCGGGGCGCCGGGAGCAGGGCCGGGCGCGCGGGCCGGAGGGCAGCCGGGGACCGCTGGCTCGCGGGGAGCTGGCACCGCCTGAGGCCCCCAGCCCCGCCGGGCTTGGCAGAGCTGGCGCGGCTGCGGGGGCAGTCCGGGCCGGCTGTCTGCCCGGGCTTGTCTGCCAGCGCGGTGGGGAGAGGGGGGCTGGCAGCTGGAAGGGCGGGGGAGGGCCCCGCGCCGGAGGCGGGGCGCCGCCTGGCAGATCGCGAGCGGAGCTGCGGGGGCCCGGCCAGATGTCAGGGCCGGGCGTGGGGAGTGCGGAGGGAGCTTGCGGAGGCCAGGGGTGCAGGGGTCGGGAGAAGGAGCTCCGTCTGGGACCCGGGCATCACCAAAGTGAGGGGGGAAGGGTGCCCCCAAAACTCCGTTAGGTTGATTCTCACCGACTTCATATACCACCCCCCCCCACCCCGCACACACACCTGCCACGTTTCTGGTTCCCGCAACCACCCGAATTCACACAGATATGCACGCCCCGCCCCACCTTGGCCCCCAGGCCCACCTTTCTCTCAAGCCGACTCCCTCCTGTGCCTTTGCCTCTGCCTCTTTTTGCTCTTTTTAGTTTCTCTCGGAGCGGACCTCTCCTCGGTCTCACTTTTCTCCCCTCTTCTTTCTTCCTACTTCCCAGAGCCAGGGGCACCCAGGCTCTCAACAGCACACCTGGGTCCATGGCTCTCCAGATTCCATGACAGCCTGTCCCGCTCCTGCAAACTCTGCACTCCCCCCCACCCCCACCCCTCCAAACTTGGCAGCTGCCTCGGGGGCCAGTTTTGGGGGAGGGCAGCTTGCAGAGCAGGTGTTCTCACTGATGCTTCCTGGTCAAGGCCCCCAAGCACTCTTCCTGTCTGTTCCACTCCAGCGTGTTTCTCAGGTCAATGGTCCCTTCTCTGGAACTTCCTCTTCAAGCCCCTTTTGTGGTGACACCCAGATGGGAAAGTTACCCAGAGAAATGCTGTCTAGGTGAGGGACAGAGAAGTGGCCACCGTGTCCCTTCCCACACTAGTGTTCCCCTGCTTCCCATGTCAGTTTGGGATGGTCAGCCCCAGCCCACACGTATACAGTTCTGACCCTTCCCGTTCATTTGTCCAATATCAGAAAGGTCAAGGTCATCACAGATCATGTCTGAAGTCCAAGGCCCATGCTGAAAAAAGAATCTAATAGAGTCTTCTTTTTATGCTTGGAATCTGGGACCACACCACCCACCTCAGGATCTGCCTTAATAGAGGGTTTGTGGGTGTTCCTGGCATAGACTTGAATTTTAAAATCCTACTGATTTGCATTTTTTATAGCACCCTAGATGGGAGGGGGTGAGGGGAGGAAGACAGTCTGTGGATGCCAGGAGAATAAAAAAGGCAAATAGGAATCTGCACTGAACTGAGCTCCAGGTCTTGATTTGCACCCTCTCCTGCCAAGGACTTGAGCCCCCCGTCCCTGAGAGGAGGAAGGGGAGAGGCTGAAGTCACCACGCTCCCCATTAGCTTTCATTTGGCCCTTTGTCTGAGCAGCTTCAGCCTTTGACTCTCTTGGAGAGGAAGCCAAATGCCTGGCCTGGGGCCCAGAATGACACTCAGATGGGAGAGCTCTGCAGCCTCCCCCTCCCCCACCCCCACGGTGCCCCGCCTCCTCCCCCGTCCTCCCCTTGTGCCAGGCTGCCCAGAAATGAGACAGAGCAGAGTGACAGGCAGAGGAATTAGAGGCTCCTTTACTCCCCAACACCTCAGCCCAGTGCTTAGGTAGCTGAACCAAACCTCAGTGCCTCAGTTTTCCCAATGGGAATGAAGAAGAAAGTAGAGCTGAGTTAGCCCAGGCTCAGCCCTTTGGCTCCTCTAAGGACTGTGAGGTTGACTTCAGTGCAACGTGGCTGTGACTAGGATAGGGAGAGTTTGTTTGTTTATACCCCAGGTCTGCAATGGGGTACAAAAGGCATACGGTAGTCTTACATCATGAGCTTGTGAGGGTGGGGGCAGGCGGTGGGGCTTGTGTGTTTATCCCAGGGAGAATCTTCCCTGCCACTGAGGGGGACTGTGTGTTGCCTGGCTTTGCCTTAAGTTAGCATGTGCTCAGGAATGGCCTGCATGTAATACCAGTCACATTCTACATTCATTTATGCCACCAAATCCCTTCAAGAAGCCTGTGTCCTACAGACACTGGGTTAGGCTGCTGGAAAAGGAAACGTTAACAGGTCATGACATTATTTTTGTCAGGGGTGTTCTGTGTCCCCTCCTGCACCCTGGCCCTGTCCTTGGCCCAGAAAATCTAGACAAGAAGAACATGCTCCTGAAAACCAAAGTGGCAGAATTTCTCAATTTCTCGGAGCAGAAAACTTGCACTCTAACAAGTGAGCCCTGCGGGGAGGCTAAGGGTTTGGGGATCCTGGCTCATTTAGGTTGATGCCTAGAGGACTGGCTCTCTCCCCCTGCCTGGAAGGAGACCGGGATCCGTTTCAGGGATGAAATGGGGCAGGAAAGTAGCCACAGCTGACACACTTCTTCATTAGGATGAGGGGGTCAGAGCTGCCACAGCTCAGCAGGGAACATATCTCTCTCCCCTCCAGCCACCGGAGAGGGGCCCTGCACGAACACAAGGCCTTGGGACCAGCTGTTCTTACACACTGCTCCCTCGAGGGCTTCCAACAAATGGGGTAGACACAGGAACACAGAGAAAGCAGATGTAAGATGCTCACAGCGTGTTCCTCATGAGTCAGGACCAGTGTAGAGCAAATAAAGAGTGTGCAGAGGCTGAGCGATAGGGGTTCAGGAAGTCCAGCCAGGCTAGGAAGGCTTCCTGGAGGAGGAGGAGGTTGATGGAGGCCAGCTCCTGGAATGCCTGTCCTGGCTGAGGCATGATGAAGCAGCAGAGGGACTTCTCTGGGGCTGGAGAAGGGCCTTCTAGGACAACTCCATATTCCTAGAAGGAAGTTATCTATAGCCACTAGTGGCCACAAGTTCAAGAGGTTCTGACACGTGGAGGAGGACCAGAGCCTAAGGGCAAGATAAGAACAAAAGAAGGTGATGGAAGAGATATAGTAGGAACAGCCTTCAACTCTTGGGACCAAAGAGCCAATTTCCTGAGGCAGAAAAAAGCTTTTACCAAGGATCTCCTAATGTGGCCTCCTTTGACGTTTAGAGCTAGGGTGAAGAACCCGGTGGGGTCAGTGAGGGAGGAGTGTGGACTGTGGGACTTGGGGGCAGGCCAGCTTGAACTCAAATCCTGGCTCTGTGTGACCCAGGCAGATTACTTAACCCCTCTGTGCCTTGGTTTTCTCATCTGTAAAGCGGGTTTTTTAAATTTTAAAACAATTTTTTTTAAGATTTTTATTTATTTATTTGAGAGAGAGGGAGAAAGCGCAAGCTGGCAGAGGGAGAAGTAGGCTCCACGCTGAGCAGGGAAGCCAACACGGGCCTCCATCCCAGGACCCTGGGATCATGACCTGAGCCAAAGGCAGACACTTAACCGACTGAGCCACCCAGGCGCCCCTAAAACAGGGTTTTTAAAATACCTACTTTATACAGCCACTGTGAAGATTAAATGGCAGCTGTCTGTCCTTAGCCTGTAACACTGTGCCTGGCGACCTCCTGACGGATGGATCAGGCTGGTATGCATGAGTCATTCATTCACAGGACACATTAACTGAGTTCTTCCGATGTTTAAAGCACCTGACCAGACACTAGCACTGTGGTTACAAATACAAACAGACACAGATCCCGCCTTCGGGGAACCCGCAGTTCAATAGGGGAGGTAATAACAATAACATTTATTGGGCCCTCGGTGGCTCAGTCGTTAGGCGTCTGCCTTCAGCTCTGGTCATGATCTCAGGGTCCTGGGATCGAGCCCCGCATCAGTCTCCCCGCTCAGTGGGAAGCCTGCTTCTCCCTCTCCCACTCCCCCTGCTTGTCTTCCCGCTCTCACTGTGTCTCTTTCTGTCAAATAAGTAAAATCTTAAAAAAAAAATAATAACATTTGTTGATGTTAACACTTACCGATATGTCAGGCATATAATGGATTCTGTCATTTAATTGCCAAAGCAACTCGAAGTTGTACTTCCCTTATTCCCATTCTATAAATGAGACATGGGGAGGTTAAGTGAGTTGGCCAAGGTCATAGAACTGGTAAGTGGCAGAGAGAGGCTTCAAACCCAGCCAGTCTGACTGCAGAACTTACACTCTTAACCAGTACATGTAGTCATATGTCCAGTACAGAAATAGAGGGGGCGTGCTACATAGAGGCACAGGCGCAATGCCCCGAGAAGGGAGGAATTAGCTCCAGCGGGGGGGATCAGAGAAAACTCCGTGGAGAGGTAGCATTTGAGCTTGACCTTGAGGGATCAGCAGGGAGGTGACCAGGAGAAAAACAGCATTCTAGGCAGATAATGAAGCAACAGGAGCGCAAGGCACCGAGATGGAAGTAGAGGGGATGTTTGAAGACTACAGGAGCTTGGCTAGGGTATAGGGTATGTGCCGAGGAATAGTGAGCAAACAGGGCTGAAAGAATTGTTGAGAGCAGCCCACTGGGGACCTTGAATGCCATGCTAAAGGGCCTGCCCTTCTCTATGTGCGCGGCGAGAAGCAGGATGGGAGACGTGCCCTGGGATCTAGGAGGTGCATGGTATGGGGTGGAGGGGAGGAGGGAGGAAACTGAGGCAGGAGGAT